GTGTATATGTATATGTATATATATATATATTGTGTTTATGCTAATTTTGTGATATCATATTATGTATTACTTCCCTTAAAATCCTAGTGCTTCGTTACATTTGCTTCCTATATGTTTTTTTTTTGTTTCAAATTATTCTATAGTATGAGTTTATAGGTTCAAACTCCGCTTGTTGGAGTGAGGGAGAAATTAAGCAAAAACTTTCTGTGTACAATACGATAAACCACTGGGATAAACCAGATCTGTTATTATGTAATGCATATATACATAACGTCAATCGTCAAGGCTTACTGTTTAAAACAGGAAGATAACTTTTCGTGATAGTTTTATTGTTAAGATCGTTAAATATTGAGTATAAATCGTACAGTGAAATGAATGTTGATGAGGGATGTAGAGTAAAGCTTTCATGATACCTACTCTCTCTATATATATATATATATCTATAGCGGAAGACATATGCCGTACTGGTGGAAGACGTTATGACTTCGTCCACACGGATCTCACTCAGTCTTCTGTGGCTCATTTCGTTGGCCTGTACTATTATTCGGACAAGGATATAGTGGTAATTAACAATAACGTAATTCTAAAGTCCATTATTGAAAAACCAGGCGGTGTAAGACTTACTAACTAACATACTTTGAACAACGTGTATGGTGTAAGACTTACTAACTAACATACTTTGAACAATGTGTATGGTGTAAGACATACTAACTAACATACTTTGAACAATGTGTATGGTGTAAGACATACTAACTAACATACTTTGAACAATGTGTACGGTGTAAGACATACTAACATACTTTGAACAATATGTGTGGTGTAAGACGTACTGACTGACATACTTAGAATAATGTGTACGGTGTAAGACATACTAACATACTTAGAACAATGTGTACGATGTAAGACATATTAACATACTTTGAACAATGTGTACGGTATAAGACATACTAACTAACATAGTTTGAACAATGTGTACGGTGTAAGACGTACTGACTAACATACTTAGAATAGTGTGTACGGTGTAAGGCATACTAATTAACATACTTTGAACAATGTGTACGGTGTTAGACATACTAACATACTTAGAACAATGTGTACGGTGTAAGAAATACTGTATTTTGTTTCTTGTATTTATGGTAAAGGCTATCTGCCGTTGTCTCTTGTGTTTAACTACGGATTAGAGGAAAGCCAGCTAGTTAGCAACACCTTGCTACTATTCAGACTAAATGATTGACTTTCACTCTTATAATGCATCCACAGCTCAAAGTGTGGGGAATTAATATTGTTTGTGGTATTGCATGGTTTGCCAATCCAAAGCTCTACCATATAGCCAAACCGTGCCCCAAGGAATACTGGTTTGGTTTGTTTTGAATTTAACGCAAAGCTACATGATTCGCATTCACTGTCTAATTACCAAGAATTGCCGTAGTGGTAAAGAAAATAGGAATAAGAAAAACACTAGATCAAGAAATTATTTTAAACACTTACAAGAAATGTATAGTAATGATAATTAGTTTGGATTATCTGTTCTGAATTTTACGCAAAGCTACTTAAGAGGGTATCTGTGCTAGCCGTCCCTAATTTAGCAGTGAAAGGCTAGAGGAAAGGCAGCTAGTCATCACAACCCACCGCCAACTCTTAGGCTATTATTTTACCAACGAATAGTGAATTGATTGTCAAATTACAACGCCCCGACGGCTGAAAGGACGAACATGTTTGGTGTGTGGGGGATTCGAACCCGCGACACTCAGATTGCGAGTCAAGGAATACTGTCTAACAAACATACTTTAAACAATATATACGGTGCAAAACATACTGAATAACATATTTTGAACAACGTACAGTGCAAGAGATACCGACAAACATGTACTGAACAATGTGGTAGTCGTCAAAAAAAATACAAATATTCCATTACTATATGAAGACTAAGTCTTATTTTTTGGATTTGTCGTTGCTCAGGGTTACTGGTGAGGGGTTGAATGGTAAAATTCAGTTACAACTGGTAAATCGAATGACAAGACTGTGCTTCACATTTACTTTTTAATAAAATTCAAACCTTTTTAATAAAGGTTTTATTGAAAGAAAGTTCCAAGTATTTAACAAGAATATCATAGAATATTCACTAGATGTCGTTCTTATTTAGTCATAAATCAGCAGTTTCGTGACTATAATATTATTTTCTATTATAAAAACCTGTATTGAGTTAACTCAAAGTCAAGTGATCTGAAATAATATCAAGCTTAGTGAAATGTTTTTTTTTCGGGATTGTTTCCTTGACATTGACCATGCTTCGCCACCTTTTATTCTTACATTGAAGCTTTAAAGTGGTCACGTAACTGAGAGTTCACATTGCTTTCAAGCTTTAGGGATCATATTAAAAATATTTACCAAATACCGGCTCTTTGCTTTGTCAAAGGTGAACACCGAGGAAGAGTGCCTCCAAATGTGTACTCAGGAGAACGAGTTCATTTGTCGGTCATTTTTGTACTCGCCTGAAACTCGGCATGTTCAGCCCAACTGTGCCTTGTACCACGTGGATTACGTGATGATGCCGGATGGAAAAAAGACGTTTCTCAATCCTAGTCCTATTCCCTTATTGGACATCGGTGAACGAACAGGAATATACTTAGAAGCTGTTTGTACAAGTAAGTTAAAAAAATCATTTCACACATTTATTTTATAAACCATTTCTTGTTGTTAGTAGCATGAATGTTACCAACTTTCAGTATTGATTGGTGGTTACGGTGATCGAGTCGCAATCTACGAGTCGCGGGATCGAAACTCAGCGCAAATCGCTGTGTTTTTTTTTTATATCCCAGCCACCCTGAAGAGCTCTGGATTGAACAAAACGCGTCGTCGGCAATGAATATGACGAATATAGTGTGGTTGAAATACTATTATTATACACTCTTCGAATTCTTTAAATTCGTAAAGGACTAGATTATGAATGTAGTGTTAAAAATACAATAGGCTTAGCATAATGTCTTATGACAAATATAATTAATGATATCAGACTTCGCCAGCTTTTAAAAGGCGTTCACACCTTAACAGCTGTTATTCTGATAATCCCTCTACGCGATCGTTTATCATAAGAAAAATAGTCCATAGATAAGTTTGAAACATATCTTACCAAAACCATTAAAAACCAAAATTACATTAAATGTAAAAACTTTCTAGTTGCAACTAAAAGTAAGGAGAAATTAACATCAAATTTAGCTCGTAGCTTTATTAAAAATAAATAAATTCGAAGAGTCAGACATTAATTTTTTTTTCAATATTAACTTTTCCAATGATGATCTGCTTTTATCTAACAGATAGCAGTTTCAGGCATCAAGCGGGAGACAATGAAAACCCCATTTTTAATATTCCACCTTCCATTGGCACTGGAGCACAGAAGACTTCAAATTCTCCTGTTGTTACTTACGACAGTGGTGACCCCTCGTGTGATGATTATGGATTTTGTTATAACGGTAACAATTTCAGAACTTTGTATAAACTTTATATTTTGACAAAATATGGAAACACGCAAACACTGAAATATTAATTACGAGGTATTCTACAATATTCTAAAAAGTTCCTTTTATCAGTAGTATTTTATTTAATATTAATTATTATAGATTTGTCTTTGACTAAACACTTCTGTCATATCTTACACAAACTGTAGTTTTTAAATGAAGGGTTTTATGTCCTACTTACTACTTTTTTATGTTGGTTTAGTATCGATCCAGTGCACGGACACCAAAATGGTTGTCTTCGTAAGAACTAACAAGCCTTTTCATGGACGAATCTATGCCTTGGGCAGGAGTGAGACCTGTCAAGCAAGCGTGAAGAACGGTAATCAGTTTGATCTGGATGTGTCATTAAAGGGTCAGGACTGTAACACCGAGTCTGTGGTAAGTGTTTGTTTGTAGTTAAACACAAAGCTGCACAATGAACTATCTATGCTCTGCCGACTACGGGTATCGAAACCCGGTTTTTAGTGTTGTAAGTCCGCAGACATACTAAAATGACAAAACAGCAATAAATATCTGCTAAATAAGTCACACAAGGTATATGTTTTGGTCATGCATTCTGTCATTTCAGCTAGGAACGTGGGCGTCCGCAGGAAGGGGCAAGGGGGCATTTGCTTCCTCTCTTGAAATTTCAGAAGAAAATTTGTATGAACAATTTATTTCAAAATACATTAGAAAATAATGCTATGCAAATATAAGTGACAGAATTAGTTGTACATAAATAAGCAATAATCAGTTAAAGTGTACAATGGCCTGCATGCTGCGATGGCTACCATTTTATTGCAATCTTCTTTTCTCACTTTCAAATTTCCAGATTTGTAAAAAAAAACAAAAAAAAACAGTAAGGAAACGCCGTTCCCACACCACTGCACCACTGCCCGTCACTAAAATCGTAATGGGCAGACAGTATTCGAACTATTCTATCTGGATAAATGCATTTTGGCTTTTATGACTCCTCATATTTTGAGAATCAAGCGAAATCAAGCGTGACACTGTGTTTTATGTTGGTTAGATTTTGTAATTATGCTTTCGCTTGTTTTGCATTTCGCGCAAAGCTGCTCGAGGGCTATCTTTGTTAGTCGTCCCTAATTTAGCAGTGATAGGCTAAAAGACGGCTAGTCAACAACGCCCACTGCCATCACTTTATGACGACACCATAGCTAAACGATGAGCATGTACGGTGACGAAAATTGGAACCTGTGACCCTCAGATTGTGAGTCGAGCTTCCTAGCCACCAGGCTATATTTTAGAGATAATTTTGAATTATCAATGACAATAGAAGTTTTGAGAACGAATGAAACCTATACCACTAAAACATTAATCTTTTTTGTTACACTTCATGCGAATGGGTAGTTCTACGCATTAATCTACCACTAAACATAAAAATAAAACTTTACATAGTATTTCACTTTCAACCTGAACGGTACGCAATGGCTAAACGGTCATCTTATACAGCTTCTAACTAGAGGGGTGACAAGAAGTTTGCAGCGTCCAAAACTTATACAGTAAATTTGAGTGAATAGCGAATTTGACCACCACTTTTATATCGCGCCAACAGATGCAAGTGTGTTCAGTGGCATATCATGGACTCGAACCTAGAGTTTCGTAGCCTTGTATGCTAGCCACTAGACTACGCCCAGACCGTCTTTGCTTAGAGAAAAGCTTAAATATTTTGTTAACTTTAATTACTAAATCATTTATATTTACTAATTAAAACGAATACATTTTAGGTCGTAATTTCACCAATAGAAAAAAAAGAGGATAAAATAAATGCCTTTACCATCTATAGTAGGAGCACAGTAAATGGAACTAATAATTTCTGTTATAAATCTACTTTAACTGTCAACTACTTTATTCCGTTATCAAAACACAAAATCTCAATATTTGATCGCCGTTAGAAAACATTTTCTGACGTTTTTGTATTGTGTCTTGTTACTCTACCCTTATCTATACACGCCAAGTAACCCTAAACATTTATTCTGCCTTTTAAAAGGTTCCTGTTCCTGTCTTTTTTTAGTTTTAAAGGCTCGCTACTTCTGTTCCCTATTTCTGCCTTCCTTAATGTTAAAGGTTTTCTAGTTCTGCCTTCCTTAATGTTAAAGGCTTTCTATTTCTGCATTCGTTAATGTTAAAGGTTTTCTACTTCTGCCTTCCTTAATGTTAAAGGTTTTCTATTTCTGCCTTCCTTAATGTTAAAGGTTTTCTACTTCTGCCTTCTTTAGTGTTAAAAGTTTCCTATTTCAGCCTTCTTTAGAGTTAAAACTTTCCTGTTTATACTTTCTTCAGGGTTAAGATTTCTAAAAGTTTCCTCATTCTACTTCCTTTAGTGTTGAAAGCGATCCTTTCTTAAATTTTATAATATTTAAGGTATTTAATCATTTTTTAGGGCGGAGTTTTCACTAATACAGTTGTTCTTCAACATCATTCGATTGTCATGACCAAATCAGACAAGGTGTACAACATTCGCTGCACCTACGAAACATCATCCAAGAACGTGTCATTTGGAATGATGCCTGTTCGGTATGTAGCGGTTCTTGTTTTCTTTTTTTTTGTTTGCTTGTGTAAAATTCACTTATATAATCACAGTTATTAGCTTTTGCTATTATAATAAAGCTTTGCAGTTGTTACATAACTACAGCAATTGACACACCTTGGCACGAATGAAATTTGTCAAGTAAATATGAACACTGGTAATCAGTTTAATCTGAATATGTCGGTGTAGGATGAGGATTGCTATATTGGTTATATATGTGGTAAGTGTTCGATTTTATTTAAGCGCATCTCTACACAAATGGCATTTCCGTTAAATCTTAGCGTTATAAGCCTTGTAGCTGACCGCTGAGTAACCGGAGGACAGTTTACTTAGCTATTGTAATTTTTTGGATGTAAAGGAATACTTTGTAGGAATTTTTACTCGATAGAAATAACTCCTGACAGACAAGTACAAGATAGAAACACCTGTTGTAGAGTTATATTTAGTACACGCTGTAACTGACAGATATTCATTTCCATTGATTGTATTATATATATTTCTATACGCATATGACAACACAGTCTTATACTATCATGATGACATTCTAGCATGCTCCTGGAACATATGGCGTAGGGATATACAAATATATAATGCCACTTCCTGATAAAAATGTGTCTCAAAAGTTGTGATACACTGTGTACTAACACACAAGCACACATGTATATATACATATAGAAGTATATGATGTGTACACATAGAGATGTATTTTAATTTAAATATAACACATTAATTTCAACATCAATCTCAGTTTCAAATAAACACTTCATAAGAAACCATAAGATAAAGCTATGGTACAAAGTACAGTACAGGAAGAAGTAAGGAACCATAAGATAAAGCTATGGTATAAAGAACAGTACAGGAAGAAGTAAGGAACCATAAGATAAAGCTATGGTATAAAGTACAGTACAGGAAGAAGTAAGGAACCATAAGATAAGCTATGGTATAAAGTACAGTACAGGAAGAAGTAAGGAACCATAAGATAAAGCTATGGTATAAAGTACAGTACAGTAA